GAACCGGCAAAAAAACGGCAGAACGGAACGGGTAAAAAAACGGCCCTGTCGATTCCAGGGCCCACTAAGGTCACGACTACGTGCAATGCTGTGGGAGACGTTGCAATGCTACTTACGCTTGCAGGGCTGACGCCAGCAGCAATGCACCGCCTCACGGAGCGTCTCAGGCTGGGCCCCAACGCTCCGGACAAGGGCCAAGTCGGCCAGCATCTGGCGGCCCTCACGGCCTCGTCCTACCACGGTTCCTGGTTCACCTACACAGGCTGTACACTGTACACTGATCGCGTTTCCTATGTTGGGTGGAGTTCCTGGACAACAGCTGGAGGACGTGGTACTAAACATGTATCATGACTGAGTGTGTTAACCTAGCCAAGCAACAACTTATGGCACTAAACATACCTACGCGTATATCGACACTAGAAGGAGCGTCCCTCACCCAGCTCTTGGCACACGAGCCAGCCACGACCATCCATGCAGTGGACATCTGATTGTTTGACGACGGTGCCTTTGCAGTATTAGGCTCGCCCATGCATTCCCTTGCTGCAGGTATCGTGTCATCCAGTTTCGTGGGGCGAGGGCTCCAGCTCAACTTCAAGAAAGGCAAGCCGGAGCTGTTATTCCAATTTTTCGGTACCCACGCCAAGCTCGCCAAAATCGACCTCTAGAAGATACGAGAGGGCAACTTCCAGGTTAAAGCCGATTCTGCCGGGGAATTCACTATCTGTGCGGTCCGACAATATCCCCATCTCGGGACCATCCTGGACGAGAAAGGAGCCACGGGACCGGAAGTTGCTCACAGAGTTGCGGGGGGTGCCCAGTCATCTCAGGTCCTAAGAAGGCGTCTTTCCCGCACTGAGCAAGGACCCTACAGCCATCACGTTCTCCAAGCTACCCAACGACCAGGAAAGCATGGACGAGAGTTTGCCAGGCAAGGGAGACCAGACAGACATCAAGATGCGCTTCGTCAATGCTCTGATCACGTCACCCCTACTTTTCAACGCTGGCACGTGGATCCACCCTAAAGAGGGAGCTATACAGACGCTGCGCAACAACATGATTAGGAGATATCGAGCAGCAGCAGGATTGCACAGACACGATGACCAGGCAATACCAGACCAGGAAGTCCTAGCAGCAGTCACGCGACCCGACCTGTACACATAATCACGTATACACAGGCTAAGGCCCCTAGACAGAGTGCTACATCATGGCTCTGCTTTACTACTGGGCATACTTGTACATGCGTACAGGACTTCCATCCTACACCATACCAAACAACTGGCATGGATACACCACAATTTAGAGAACCTACAACGGCTAGGCACGGTACACAAAACATACTGCGAACTGCCTGGCCCGTGCGACGACCTGGCACCATGGGAACGGCATGTCCGTACCTCGCTCACGGCATGAAGGCAGACTTTGAAAGTGGCGCAACGCGGAGCGACCTGTGCGCAGGCGAGGGCGACACTGGCTGGCAAGGCCGAGCGTGACTTCTTTCAGATCGTGCAGAGCAGCGACTTTCCCCTCCCAGTTACGCATCACGACCGCCCCTCGGAGCAGAAGAGGAAGAAACGCCAACAACACACTCATATGTCCGTGGTGCTCGACAGTATTTCCGAAAGCGAGGGCGCTCAAGCAACATGTCATACGCATGCACCATACCATGGTATCACAAGTGAAACATGTCATGGGGGCCACGACTGTATTCAGGGCTTGTGCTACTGAATTTGCATCCAGGCGGCAATTTCGGAATCGTCTCGATTTCGACTCCTCAAGATGCTGCCTCTCGCACTTTATGCACGACATGCAGCTGTCAGCCTCTGCAGCGGAGGAAGCAACAGAAAAGGACCGCCAACACGGTCAAGACCAGCGGACAACTGGCCTAGGACGGTGGAGGGCGGCGCACCCAACTGTTCCAGCACAGTGTGCCGACGGTATGCTGTGGGAATCAGCTTGGGTATTTTCACACTTGGAGGAGAATGACGCCAGAGAGGTACTGCGAGAATCCAGCTACGAGCTTACTCCTGAGGCGCTTCTGACCATGACCGACGTCTGGACCGAACGACCTGCCCCACGGCCTCCAGAGGCCATCTACCCGGCACATGAAAGATACTCTCTTCAACACGTACCGTGGAAGCTACAACGGTCGGAAGTAGATATACGTATACATATATATATGTCATGAAGATGCACTGTGGGAGACGGCGCACGGGCGACATACGGCACCACATCGAGAACATGAATGTGCGCGCGCACGTCATATGCACGGTCCTGTCCATCGACATTGCGATCGACACGATAAGATGCGACATCACGAGGCACGACACATTTGAGATGTGGGCTGCGCATGTGAGATCACGGAGGGTCTGGGTCACTGCGGGGGGGAGGGGGCATGTGAGACCTGGAGCGCGGCTCGCTGGGAGGAGCCCCCCCCCGCTCAGGACTCAGGCTCAGTACTGGGGGGTACCATGGAGCACGGATAAGCAGCTCGAGATAGGAAATAAGTGGCTCCAGTCCCTCAGCCTCCTCATGGCGGAGCACGTCAGAGCAGGCACGTGTGCGTGGCTGGAGCACCCGCAGCCAGCAGTTTGGAGAGCACAAGCAGCCTCCAGCTTCGCGTGGCTCCCTCTTAGGCCAATCGAGTGCTGCAGCTGCCAGCGCCATCGATTTTCATCGGTGCACGCTGCAGGCCGCCCTGCCAGAGACCATAGGTAGAGCCCCCACCAGGATCCTTGCCCTGAGGCTCCCCAATATGCATCAGTATCTCGCAGCCAGTTATGGGGCGAAGTGCTGTCACGACAGGGGAGTACACACCACACTGTTGGGCAAAAGGGAAGCTAACCGCATCTTCAGGACCAGCGCCAAAAAGACGTGCCCTGACAGAGCGTGTGTAGCAATCGCCCAGGCAATGCACGATGCAGTACGGAGCGCTTGGCCCTCGGATGCAGAAGAAGATAATCCACCTCCTCCCCCCACCTCAAATGTGGCCCCTGAGGGGAGGCCATTGCAGATACAGGGTCATCCGATGTCAGAGCTGACCTGTCAGATGACTTCTGGGAGGCTCCAGATTTCGCGCACACACACACAGACACACACAGACACACACAGACACACACAGACACACACACAGACACACACAGGCACACACAGACACACACAGACACACACAGACACACACACAGACACACACACACACAACACACACACACAGACACACAGACACAGACACACACACACACACACACACACACACACACACGCCCACACACGCACACACACGCACACATACACCCACACACACACCCACACACACCCACGCCCACCCACACCCACCCACCCACCCACCCACACACCCACACACCCACCCACCCACCCACCCACCCACCCACGCACCCACCCACGCACGCACGCACGCACGCACGCACGCACGCGCGCGCGCACGCGCACGCGCACGCGCACGCGCACGGGCACGCGCACGCGCACACGCACACGCACACGCACACGCACACGCACGCGCACGCGCACGCGCACGCGCACGCGCACGCGCACCACGCGACCACGCGCACACGCGCACACGCGCACACGCGCACACGCGCACACGCGCACACGCGCACACGCGCACACACGCACACACGCACACACGCACACACGCACACACGCACACACGCACACACGCACACACGCACACACGCACGCACACGCACACACGCACACACGCACACACGCACACACGCACACACGCACACACGCACACACGCACACACGCACACACGCACACACGCACACACACGCACACACGCACACACGCACACACGCACACACGCACACACGCACACACGCACACACGCACACACGCACACACGCACACACACACGCACACACGCACACACGCACACACGCACACACGCACACACGCACACACGCACACACGCACACACGCACACACGCACACACGCACACACGCACACACACGCACACACGCACACACGCACACACGCACACACGCACACACGCACACACGCACACACGCACACACGCACACACGCACACACGCACACACGCACACACGCACACACGCACACACGCACATTCACACACACACACACACCGCGATGTCCAGGAAGCGAGGTGACCCAGAACTTTGCCGTTGGTTTCCTCCCCCGTCCTCGCCTCCTGCTGGCTCCTCCCCCGCCCCAGCCGAGGATGAAGGGGCCCGAGGACACACAAATAAATACACACAAATAACAGGATTCTTTGTATTTTTCCATATTTTCTGGGTTTCTGTCTTCCCCCCCACTTCCTACAATTTCCCATATTCTCTAGGGAATCGACGATTCATTATGTCTGTGTGATTTTTTCCCTCCCGAGAGGAACTCGGTAACACCCGCCGCCAGACCCCTGCGCCGGCGGCCACTGCTGCTGCAGGCGGCCGCCCCGCCTCCCAGCCCTGAGAGGCCGGAGACCCGTCTGTCTTCCCAGAGGACGGGGTTCCCCCCCCTCTCTTCCCTGCCTCGGTCGGGTCGGGCGAAAGGGGGATAGCAAAGCGGGGGGCTGAGAATCAGCTCACGTAGCTGATTTTCCCTGCGCCTCCCGGCGCCGAAGGCGGCTGTGTATCGAGGACTGGGCCCCTCGGTGAGGCCGAATCCAGCTGCATGCAGCAAATTTCGTACCCCCCTCTTGCCCAATCCCCCCTTTCGTCCGGCCCGACTTGCCTCTTTCGGCCCCCTCCCCTCCCCCGCCCCCTCCCCCCGTCCTCACAGCTGACCAGTTGGCCAGGATAGCAGCCCATCGAGCAGCAGCCCGCGAACGACGCCACAGGCGCGTCGCCCCACGGCCTGGTCAGAGCTTACCCTATAGTTTTGACTCTGTGAGTTGCCCTTGGACGCCTCTCTCAGTACAGGCCCCGGGGCTCTCTCACCAGAGCTTTCTAGAGTTGAGAACGTCTTCGCGACACTGCCATCGTCCGCCGCCGCCGCTTCCTGTTGGCTAGGGGGCGCGACTCGAGCGGCTCGTCCGGCTGGTCGCGCAGCTGGCGGGGAGCCTCCAATGGGATAGCTGGGCGCGGCCGAGCTGGCCGCCACAGAGGGGTGACCATCGGGCAAGGAGGGGAGCGAGAGAGGGGGGAGAGACAAGCTAGGAGCGCTCGCGCCATGTCCGACGTCCTACCCCTCCATTCCATCCCTTTCCATTGCGTTCAGCCCCTCTCTATTCGCAGAGTCGGGTGTCAGGAAAGACCTTGATCCCGAGAGGACTTGAACCCCTGGGAGTCAAGAGTTGGGCGGACATGAAGGAGGCGCAGGGGTGGAGGGGAGGAGGAAGAGGAAAGATGATGAACGAAGGCGGAGCAGGGAGGTGATTGGACCTGACCGGCACACACGCACACACGTACACACGCACACACACACACCCACACACACCCACACCCCCCCACAACCCAACACCCCCACCCATCCCCACCCATCCCCACCCATCCACACCCCCACACCCCCACACACCCACACACCCACACCCACACACCCACACACCCACACACCCACACACCCACATACCCACACACACCCACACACCCACACACCCACACCCCCACACCCCCACACCCACCCACACCCCCACCCACCCACCCACCCACCCACCCACCCACCCACGCACCCACGCATCCACGCACGCACGCACGCACGCACGCACGCACGCACACACAAACACAAACACACACACACACACAAGCGTTGCCTCTACAAAAAAGGTAACCCACGGCACTCCAAAACCACTCTCGGTGCGTCGTCTCGTCGGACGGAACCCGATGGAAGTTCTTGAATGCGGCATGCGCTGCAGCGGGAACACCACTCCTGCTGATGAAACACTGCGGTCAGAGATGTGGCGAGAGCGCCGTCCCACTGGCCAGAGGCGTTGTGGAGATCGGCCTGTGTGGCACGCGCAGCAGCGGGAGCATCAGTGTCGCTGATGCAGGAGCACGTGCACCGCTGCGACGGGAACACCATCCCCTTGCATGGAAGATCGACGAGAACTCGCACATGGTGTAGGCCCTGTAGCCAGAGTACCACTTGCACTGATGCAAAAATACTTCCAGAGCGATGATGCGAGCGCCGTTCGATTGGACGGAGGCCGTCTGGAGAATATTATTGACTGTAGCAAACGCTGCAGCGGGAGTCTCACTTTTGAAAGGCCGAGAACGTGCTGTCAGGTAAGATCAATCTCGAAGGCCAGCTCGGGACAATCCTGTGTGAAGCACTGTGTGCGAGATGGGTGTGCGAAAATAAAGATATAGCACGACGGGGGAGAGGAGAGCAGTACTCAGACAGTGCAAGGTGTGGAGGAGGACGAGGAGGAGGACGAGGATGAAGGTGTACTAGAGGACGCGCCAGGGGACGTCCTAGGGAAGGTCGAAAGGGGCTTGCAACGCGCGCGACGTGCCAGATGACGTGCCAAGGGATGTGCCAGGGGACGTGCCAGGCGATATGCCAGCGTGAACCTGCGCGGGGCATATGATCCAAACGAAGATTGTGCCAACAGATTCGGGGTGCCCATTTTGGTACACCTCTCACGCGAATAATTCCGCTGGCCCTCACCGATCTGGTGTATCGAAAAAGGAACTCGTCGGCCTCCTTCATGGCGACGGAGACAAGGTTACACATTGAAAGGGAACGCTGGGTCCGAGCTTTTCCTGAGAAAAGGAGGAGGAAGACGAGGATGAGGACGAGGATGATGATGAATATGAGGATGAGGAGGAGGAGGAATACGAGGGCCGAGAGCGGTTGAAGAAGGGGAGAACATGGGGAGGACGAGGAGGAGGAAAACGATGACGAGGACACGGAGGGAAACATAAAAACATGTGGCGGATTTCGGACACCTTAAACAAAAAACGTGTTCATGCCTTGGAGGCGTTCCGCCGACCTTCCGCCGTGCGGAAGAGATGACAACTCCTTCGATCCTCGAAGGCAAAGCCTTTTCTGGAACGCCTCAGGTGCTTCTACTGTAGGTGGCGAATCTATGAACCGTTCACATACGAAGTAAACAATACCCTGTGCGGAAGCAGCCAACGAGCATCTTCATCGGCTCAATGCTAGACCGACACAGCAAAACTTGCGATTGTGGGCGCGCCACCAAGCAGTGAGACCCTTCAATTGTTCACAGTTCCTCTAGCTTTGGCCTCGGCTTCTCACCGGCGGCCGTCTCGCTATCGCGCTGATTGAAGGTTCCCCACATGCCAGTGTAGCGATCACCACCAGGAAGCCCTTCGACAACGTTTGCAAGGGACTCCAAGTCACCCTTCTCGAGCACCTTTGAGAGCAGCACGGCCTCAGAATTCTCGACCAAGCGTCTCGGCTTCGTCGTGCCGGGGATCGGCACCACATCCTGGCCTTGCGCATGCACCCAGGCCAGTGCCAGCTTAGCCGCCGTAGGCTGAACGCCGACGGGCGGGGTCCGCTGGGCCATCTTGCTCGCCAGGTCATGGAGCCGGTCGCCGCTCTTCTTGTTCTCCTGGAACTTCTCGTCATCGAAGCGCGGCAGATTCTTGCGAAAATCGCCGTCTTTGATCTCCTCGCGCGCAGTGAAGGTGCGGCTCAGCAGGCCGCGATTGAAGGGAGAGTACGCCACGATGCCGACGCCCAGCTCGCGAGCTGTGGGCACAAGCTTGGCCTCGACGTCACGCGTGGCGATGGACCACTCGATCTGGATGGCCGTAACGGGGTGAACAGCGTGCGCTCGGCGCAGCTCATCGGCAGTGCATTCGCTCAGGCCGACGTACCTGATCTTCCCCTCGGCCACCAGTGCCTTCAGCTCTGCCATGGTATCCTCGATCGGCGTCTCGGGGTCAATGCGATGCTGGTAGTACAGGTCGATGTAGTCTGTGCCTAGGCGCTTGAGAGAATCGGCAACCTGACTGCGGATAACCTCTTTCGAGCTGTTGAAGGCGAGTCCTGCCTCTCCCATCGTGATACCGAACTTCGTGGCAACGACCCACTTGTCGCGGCCATGCTTCGCGATGGCCCGGCCCACGAGCTCCTCGTTGGTGGCGCCGCTCTCGAAGTGCTGGTAGATCCAGGCGGTGTCCAGGAAATTAATTCCCAACTCCTGCGCCTTGTCCAACGTGGCCATGTTCGTCTCCTCGGCCTCCTTTCGACTAGGGGGTCGACTACACAATTGCGTAACCCCAGGCTTGATTTCCTCGTCGAATATACAAGCGGATTACGTGGAATGATCGTATATCCACGAATGGTATGCACATTTTCGTAGATTCGACGAACAAGCCAACCTTGAGGTACATCAATGATGTAGTCGATCCCCTGCTCGATCCTTGGGGTCCGTGCCATAGATGACTCGGAGGGCGGAAGAGCACACCCCAGCAATCCACTCTTCGGACGTCCGCGGGCGGCCTCTTCTCGGGAGCGGCCAAGAGGGGGGTGTCCAAGAGGGGGGGGTGCAAATCATGACCGGCGGCATGTGCGCGGCCCAGCAGGGGGGGCAGGGACGTAATGAAATAAGAAGGGGCGCCGTGAAATCTGGGGAAATATCATGACCCCCGCCATGATATCCACCCCCCCGAGTCATCACCCCCCTCTTTTCCGCCCCCGATCTTCGCTGGCCCTAAGATTCGACGGCGCGAAACATCTGTCACTGCACCGACCTTGCAGACGTGCGTGCAGACCTTGGCTTTGGCGTGGGCTTCTGCCCATGCAAAATCTCGAGACGGCGAGTGAAAATCGACGTGAATTTCGCGCGGGTGATTTTCAGTCCTCCTTCCCGCCCCAAGAAACCCGCACGAAATGCACCTCGAAATCCGGAACGACATTTTCCAGGACACTCCAGGCCCATCCTAGCGTTTTTCGAACGAAATCCGCTCTGCGATTTTGGCGCCATGACATCTGCAACATCGTAGGTGAGGAGCCGAACTCTATACACCGACGCTTTCCCTGGCCCCGCACTGGCATTCGCGCAAAAAAGCGGATGCTGGTGTTTTCGGGATCCTGGTGTCTACATTTTTCGTTGCTTCCCCGAGAAAGCAGGGAAACAAGCATACACCACACGACCCCGACGTCGTCCCCGACCCTCGAAACGTCCTGGGATTGAAACACAGCCGCCACCGGTAATGTACATGCTCCAGTTTCCGAGAAGGACGCCGCGACAGGAGCCCCGGACCCAGTCTTTCTGCGCCACACCTCGCGTCGAAGGAGAACCGACGCATAAACACAACCTCTCGGCGCTCCGCGCGGATTCCCGGGATCCGCGCGGCGCGCCAATCCATCTATGTTCATGGCGCTTTTTCTCTTCTTCGATCGAGCCGGGTCGATCCACGCGGCCTTTTGGGGCCTGACGTCGGGCGGAGCAGCGCGGCGTGATACCGTTAAGTCGGGCCTGTCCCCCTACAGGGGGATTCTCCTGTCCCCCTACAGGTAGATTTTGGACGACAAAAAAATACCCCAACAAATACTCAAAAGATGCCCGAAAAGACTCAAACAAAAATCCCCAGGCTATTTCTTGACTATTCTTGAATATTTCTTGACTATTCTTGAACCTTCCCACTGTAGAGGGACAGGCCCGACTTCATGGCACCGCTGCGAGGCTACATGGGGACTTTGGACGAAAATTTAAAACACCCAACAGATGCTCAAAATATGCCCGAAAACACTCAAAACATAGCCCCCAGGGTATTTCTCTTGACTAGTTTTGAATCTCCCCCCTGTAGAGGGACAGGCCCGACTTCCTGGCACCGCTGCGGGGCTCGGACCTGGGGGGGGTGGCATTGGTACTCTTTCGCCCAACCTCCCCCCCCCCCGATTTTGGCAAGGCTCGCGCTGCACGGGGTTCTGCCGCCTTCTTTTGCCTGATCGTTCCCCCGTTCGTTTTGTCTTCGTTCTGCCCCTGCTGCAGAGCGAAAAGAAACGTAAGCGGAGCGACGGAACCGCAAAGACACGGTTGAGCTCGCGCCCTGGCTTCTGGTGCTCGAGTCCGGTGTCGACTACAGAACCGATCTGCCCCAGAATCGACTTGTCCGCCGAGCCTGCGGAGCATGCGCAGAAT